CCGCCACCAGCTCCTCCCTCGCCGGCCGCCTCTGCCCAATCCGCTCCGGCGCGGGAGGCTCCCCTCACCCGCCCCCGCCCCTGGCCTCGGCCCACCCGGCCGCCGCCGCCCCGAGGTGGGGGAGGGAGGACGCGGCCCGACTCCCCCGCCCCGAAGTGGCGGCCGCCGGGGAGCCCCGGGCCCGGCCCTGCCCCAGGAGGTTCAGGGGCTCGTAGGGAAAGCGGTGGGAGGGGGTACTCGTCCAGCCCCTCTGCTCCACGCAGGTCCAGCCCCAACTACATCCCAGCCGAGGCTTCAAAACCTGCACGGATGGAGAGTCCACAGCCTCTGCTCCCGCGCTTCACTACCCGTCTTCTGGGGGAGTTTTTCCTCGTATCTCACCTAAACTTCCCTTGCTGCAGCTTGAGGCCGTTGCTCCTTGTTCTGTCATCTGCCACCACTGAGAACAGTTTAGCGCCAGCCCCGCTTCGGGGAGTCGAAGGCTGCTATTAACTCCCCCGTCAGTCTTCTCTTCTCCAGACTGAATAAATCCAGTGCCCGCAGCCTCTCCTCAAGTCATGCCCCCCAACTCCCTCATCATTTTCATGGCTTTCTGCTGGGCTCTCCAATTTGTGTCCACATCCTTTCTGTAGGGAGGGACCCAAAACAGGACACCGTAGGCCAGATGTGGACAAATAGAGGGGAATAATCACTTCCATCAATTGGCTGGCCACACTCCTACCGATGCAGCCCAGTATGCCATTAGATTTCTTGCTCCTAATGGGTGGCTGTGCCCCACAGCAAGGGGGATTGGTGTGGTTGGCATCAGTGGCACACACAAACTGAGAGGGGAGTCTGGGTCTCCCAGCTTTGTTGAGAGCCCCTAAACAACTCCCTACAGTGCCAGGCTTCCTGGTTGAAGGCAAGCCTGGCTGTTTCCCAGCTCATAGAGATACTTGGCACCTGTTTGTAAAACCATCATAATGATGCAGGGCTGGAAGGGACCTGTAGTCTAAACCCCTGCCTGAGGCAGGATCATCCCTCTCCAAACCATCCCACACACTTCCTAATCTTAACTCGATATAAATCATCCCTGACACCACACGGACTTAATACCCCAGCCTGACACAGGATGAGCCAGGGAACCACTGCAGTCAACCTCTTGCTTCTAGGAAATGTTACCAATATGTGCTGAAGAGATCCCAGGTTGAGGGCCGCACCTCAACTATAGAGGAAGGCAAAAATCCAGTCGGTCCCATTCTGACCATGGGGTAAAATTCCTTCCTGACCCCAAATGATCCAAGCTCTTGCCACAGAAACCTTTGGGAGTACTAGAATTGGTATTTTATATTTCTCTCATGACTTCACATGCAGAGGAAGTTGCTTTATGCCTCTCTCATCTTCAGACACACCCTTTAAGCCAGGCAATGGAAGAAAAATACTTGTGTCCTAAACTGAATGTATAACTATGAGAAATCAGACACTGTGTCATACCCTTCATCTACATTTTGTAACACTGAGCCATAATCAAATCCTGTTCATTTTTCTCATGGCAGCGATCTCAGAGGCATCAATAGCTGGGATGGTCTCATGGGTGAGATAAGCAAAGTTTGGTCCTTTATTCATATAGACATGAATAAGAATTACAATGCAATGATAAGTGCCATGGGCGTGGACAGTGCTGCAGTGAGTGTCAGTTATGAGCTACCAATCCTGCTGTTTTTACTCCAGGAAAATTCCCAGCTAAGAAAAAAACCCAGCTTGCTTGGTACTTACAAATTATGCTACTTTGGTCAAATCCTTCTTTACTGTCTCCAGCAAAATTCCAAGTTAAGAAAATAAAAATTATTTTGCTTACATAAAAATGTGCTTATAATAAAGTTATGATAAGATACAGTCTCAGACTGCAGCCTCCAAACCTCCCTCCTACCTCAGTACTCCAAATGTGATGTTGGTGGGGGGAAGGAGGGAATCTCATCTGGATCTTCCAATCAAACCTCCCTGTTTTTAGTATATATCAGTACAGTCTGTATCAGATCCAAACCCAAGAGACTCCTGTTTTCCAAATTCATTTTGGATCCACAGTGGTGGAAATCCTACAAGATCAGCTGTATTTGCAAAGCTATTTGCAGCTGAATCTTGCAAGAACCAAGTTTCAGCATCATACAATGTGAAGTGAACCCCTTGTCTCTCTACCTAAACTTTGAAACCTGTCATAAATCTCTTCAGATCATAAATCAGCACAATGCTTCCATAGCCTATTATAAGAATGCTCTAAATATCAAACTGATTACAGCCTGAAGTCATACCTTCTACATTGTTCTGTTTTTCATTGAAATGATTTGTGCTTTAGTCTCATGCTGTGGTCCACTCAGGACAGATTTCAAGTGAGGAAGTAGCTTAGCTCATCGAGCTGCTCCATCCCCAAATATCAGTTGAATTTATAGTTTACGGAAACTAGAAGAAAATGCCACCTTAAGAAAATGCCATGACTTTAGTCCTTTCCTCCATTCCTGCTTTATTGGATTGTTCTCCCTTTTTTATCTGTGTCATAGTTTAATGTCCTCTAAGAGCACTACATAAAAGGTTTGCAGAGCTATCAAACTTTCAACTAAAACTTTCAAAGGATTAAAAGAAACTTTAAAATTGATATGTAATGGGGAAAAACCAATCCCATTTGAAGAGTTAGGATGTCCAGATCCCCAAAGATATTTAGAAGTTGCTTCTTTTGTCATTTGAGTCTCATTTTCCAAAATGGCCTAGGCATTTAGCATGGCTAGATCCCTGTCTACACTGCCTCACTCCCAAACTGAGGAAGGAAAAAAACCTGCCTTCTCCTACTTTGCTGGGAGCAAGTGGTAGAGAAAGGTTACTGAATACATATCTTTGTGCTGTTCATAGGCTCTCCCAAAACAGAGAGCCCTAAAACTATGATGAAGTGTGTGCTCAGGACCCCTGTAAACTGACTAATCCTAATTGCTGGGTTTGGGTTTGGGCTTAAGTGGAGAGGGACTAAGTGATTGTTTCTTGGCAGCAGTCCTGGGCTTGCCTGGGGGTCAACATAGACACTAACTTTCAATGAGACAAGGGACTCAGCCATGTGAGGAGCATTTTGTGCGTTGATGTGGGGTACACTAATTATTGCAGATACATAATGGAAGCCCAGCCAGAAGCAACTGAAATTCTGGAAGCTGGGAGGTCACATCAGTTGCAAAATGTCTGGAATTGCTCTCCCATTGTCCTATGATCAATCCCCCTTAAATTAGCTGGCACCATTTACAAACTGTTACTGGCTGACTGAATGAAATAGTGCTCTGCGCTGTGATGTTGGATGTTTGTGGACATGTGCTAGACATTTTTCTGCCAGGTGGCTTCAAGGCAGCTGCTGCACTAACAGACATTGTGGTATGCTCAGGGCTTGGGCAGTCCAGGCTTAACGGCAGAGAATCATGAGCCTGGGAGTCAGGAGGTCAAGAAAAGATCTTAAAGGTGTGGCACGCCTAAGCAGGCAAGGTCAGGAAGCAAGGGTCCAAACTAGAATCAGAAGTCAGAAGATCAGGAGAAGCTGGCTCAGCTGGCAGAAGTCTATAAGGGATCAACACACAAGCCAGGAGCTGATGGTTAGGGAACAAAGATTTGGATTTGAATCAGGTGAAAAAAGTCAATAGGCAAGAACTGGTGACTTGGCAGAGAGGTATCACTCCTGTTGAGCAGCCTTTTGGGTACCAAAAAGGCTGCTCCTTATAAGGCAGACACATCCACGCAGCTAACTGGGCCAGTTGGAAAGGTCAGACCATTGACAGCCGAGCCCACACAAGTAGTCAGGGCCAGCTGGGTCAAGTCAGCCTTTTTGCTGCTCTGATTCCTGATGCCAAGC